CATATGAGGTTGGCATATTGGATTGAAAGTGCATGAAATTGTAAAAGGCATAGCTTATCATATGGCGCAGTGGCTTGATTTTAATAATCACTTGGGTTTAAGATAGCTATTTGAAAAATTGGGGCCACGTTTGTTCACACGTGTTTTGAAAATTTTAAAGAAGTGTTTGGCGTTATTTAACCACAATGCCTATTGCCCCCCATGGCCATCTTTTCCAGACTTAGCCTCTAGTGACTATTTCCAGTTTACAAACCTTAAAAAATTGCTAATGGAAATAATCGCTCGTACATTTCATTAAAATATTATAATTTATCTATAAAACGATTTGGGGGGATGCAGTCCTAAAACTTTCCCGCGCCGAGAAAAGGGTTCTAAGCGTCCCAGAGTTCATTTTAGAGGATAAAGGAAAGAACAGGCGAAAACGAAATTTTTATAACTTGTACGTTACGTCATAAAGGAATGGAAATAGCTCAGACATTCGTATTGTAATTCCACGACGCGGCCCACGGGCGATGAAGCGATAAAAGTATGTAACAAACAGGTATTTGACATTTTACTTTGATGACGTAACGGACAAGTTATAAAAATCCTAGTATAGACGGCAACACAAACGAAGAATGTTTAACGCGTGGTTACATGAAAAATAATCAAGTAAAATTATTTCTAACTTTAGATAATATTAAGAGTAGTTTTTAATTAATCTCTAACGATCATATGAGATGGGAATTATGTAATCCTAATAATTCATAATCATAATTTAAGAGGAAAAGGAAAAAACAAGCTAGCACAAAAGGGGAATAGGTAACGCGTTATTACATGCAATATATCAGAATTTGAAGTTTAGATAATTAAATTGATATCTTAAATTACTTTATAACAGTTATAATCTGAAAATTGATTTTTGAACGCTTAGCTCCCTTTCTCAGAGCGCGTCACATATTGTTGTACCTACCTAAATAGCATCAATTTTATTTTAATGTATATTTATGCGAATTAAATTTTATCGATGGCTGCTAGGTAAATTGCAAACTTGGCATGTGAGTAGGTCATTACGCAGGATGTCTTGGATTCAGGGTCCTGTGTCCTGCGTTCTGCCAAAGGAAACTTCCCCAAGTAACATTTTTAGTTTTAATATGGTCTTCAAGAACGCTTTAAAACAAAATTTTGTTTTAAAGCGTTCTTGAAGACCATACTAAAACTAAAAATGGTACTTGGGTCAGGACGCCAAATATTCTGCATTTTATAAAATTAACTACCTATTGTATTTTCATTTTTTTAAGTATCTCAATGCATCTTTTTTACAATTAAAAAAATAACATTGGTCTTTCTTAAAGTATATTTCTAACCCTGCTTATAATGCCAACGTCAACTTTGGACGGTTTCACTCGGTATACCAGTTAAATAAAATACTATATTTTTAACTTGACTAAAAAAACCTATACTTTTAACTTGACTAAAAATACTAAAAATACTATATTTTTAACTTGACTCCTACATCATCAATGTAAAGATATAGCTCAGACATTCGTATTGTATTGCCAAGCCGCAGGAGCGATGGTATGCTTTAATTTAGCGATACGTTTGTCGAAAATTCATACAATCATACATATTAGGTGTGTATTAGGCTACTACATACTTTTGGGTTCAAGGTAAAAAACATACTTACAATTGAGACCAGTTTTTTAGAGAGCGATCGCCTTTTCCAAATGTAATAAATAGTAGATTATGTCATAAGGAGTAGAAGCGACTCTTTTTGTGGTGAGTACAGAGATTGACGGCCGAAGCGTAGCGAGCTTCTACTCCAAATAACATATACAATTTTTTTTTCAAGGGCGTAATATAAATAGGATAAGCAATGGAATTATTTTATTTACTCTTAACTCATGTGGTATAAAATTTTGGCTAAAAGCATTAGAAATTATTGATAAAAACTAAAAAAACTTATAACCCTTACTTACAATGCCGATAAATATCCTAAACCATAGATAACAAAGCCTAAACTAAAAATAAACCCTGCTCTGTCAAAATGCTGCGCTTTAATTAATTTTGACGTACCTACTGACATTTGTTTGGAGTTCCGACATTGGCAACTCGTCTATCATCATAATATTATACTAATAAACTAGTTGTTCTTTATTTCTTTCAATTAAAATTTAATAAATAATCACTAAATATTCCGTGCGATTATAATTAATATAATTAATACAACGTGATTGCTTTGTATGAAATGCTAAATTAATTTTATTATTTGACGTCTATTGAGACACCTATGGATTTACTTCTATCCCTAGGCTTTTTTGAGTTTTTTGTCTGCCGCTAATGAAAAAGACGCACTTCAACTATCTCTATACAGGCATATAAGGTTGTATATCATGGCCGCTTGAAAAAAAAATAATATATTTTTAAAATAACACTATACAGGGTACACCAAGTATCATTCTAGAATTCTATGTGGGTATGTATACTAGGGTGTCCGTTATTTACCAACTTGGTTTTTTTGTTTGCAGCGCCCCCTAAATGTTTGGTTTATGAACTAAAAAAAATAAAAAAAATATTCATATTAAACCGTGCCAAAAAGACGATTCATTTTCCATTTAAATAACATGGGGTTTCGCGCAAGTTTTACATTTAATTTTTTTTTCTCCCGTTAATATTCAGCAATAAGAGATACATATTTTTATAGGAAATTGAACGCTGAACAAAAAGCTTTCCTATGATTTTTTAATAAATGCACTGATTTAAAAGTTATTTAAGATTAAAGTTAAACTTATTAATACTAGTAGTAGTAATACTTAGTAAGTAGTAATACTTAGTAATTTTTTCAATTGTTTTTGCTTTGACTGCAAAATTATAAATATTTTTATGAAATGAATTGTTTATTTTTGAATATATTTTATTTTATTATTAAAAAAATAAAAATTATTGATAAGTGAAAATTATTTACAAGATATTCCGATAAATTAAATTTTTTTTTACATTAAACGAATCTGGTACTAGTTTTACTCAATTTTAGTATGATTACTTTTTAATTTCTGTGATATTCTATAAAATTTTATACGATTTTATAAAGTATTATACAATAATAAGTTTTTCTTCAGTACAACTAATGACGTAAAAATTCTTTTAAGAATTATTTTTACGACAAAATAAAATTCGTAATTACGCATACGTTGTCTTAAGTACGAGATGCAGATATCTTCGCTACACCAATTATCCTTTTCAAATAAGTTAAATGTATTTTTCTACTCCCACCTTTAAAACGCCCTTTATCGTACAGGTTTCCATGACACTAAGTGACCTTTTAAATACACATTGACAAGTTATGGCTTTATGGGGCTTTAGTCACGGGCTGAAGTTAGCAACAGGTTTTTATTCACGGGCCGAAGTTACTTTTAAGTTAGTTGACAGTTGTCAAATGTCAAACAATCGTTAAAATAAATTGCCTTTCTTGTAAAATAATACTAAATGTGAAAATTATTTAATTATCTCAATACAAAAATACAAAAGTATTAAATAGTTTCTTAACGCCAATATTTAAAAAGTTTATATGAACATTGTACTGACCTTTTAATTTCACCGGCAGTATAACTTAAATTCGGGCACGGACTCCACTGTAAAGTGCTCATAAAACATTTTCTTGGTATATATGCTTTAATCTCATTTTTATTTTTGTTTGGTTTTGGGATTAATATGTTTATATACTTTTTAATTTGGTTACAGTTATCTCCAAGAATCCATATTTTATCATATATTTCACATAGGAAAATTTCTGCTATTGGTGGAAGATGGTATATCATAGAATAAGTAATGCTTTCCATAACAGGGGATGTATTAGGACTATTTTTGATATTGTGGTCTAGTTCTTCAATAGTTATAGTTTTATTGAGCCAGTGATTCTGGTCAATATTTACGCTATTTACTTTTGGTGAGACGTAGGGTGGTGCTAGGTTAGCCAATATTTGCTCGGTTTGATTCTTATCTAAGTAACATTTTTGGTTATTGTTTGCATATATTGCTTGCATTTGTTTTGCTTCAGACCATTTTTTTGTGGTATGTTACCATTAAGATTTGATACAAATTTGCGCCATGACTCTTTTGCTTTTGTTTTGAAGATTTTAGAACATTTTGCTGATATATCTTTTAATAAGATACAATATGTTCTATACTTTCAAGAAAAAAATAATTTAGTTTTTCTACCATTTCCTTTTTATCAAAGATTATTTTATTCTGAAACTTAACTTTAGATAATGTTTCATTTTTATTGTTTGGCAATAAATCTTTTACATTTGCCCACATTTTTCTGAAATAAAATCTATTTTTATTAATAATTTGAATCTGGAATTTTTCTTTGGCTTCTTTTATTTCTTTGGCTAAGTTATTCCGAACTACTTTGCACTGATTCCAATCATCTTGGATATTTGTAAATACTGATTTTTTGTACTGTAAATCTCTTTCATATGTTCTAAAATTGAATTATTTACCCATTTGTTATAATAATATTTTCTTTTCTTTATTAATTATACTTTGTGTACTCTGTATATAAGTTATTTAGGCAAGGTGTTTAACTCTTCTCACTCTCGGCCATCAATATTGTATTAAATCCATAAAGCTAGCTGCCAAAAATGAACATCAAAATACAACTGTAAATGATAAAAATCTGATTTAAAAATAGTTTTATGATTTATGGATTTAGTACCACAAAGAAATATCAACATAAATCAAATTGCAATCGACAAAAAGTTCTTAAATTTAAATAATAATAATAATAATAAAATATTAAAATTACAAATACCTATATTAAAATTGGGTAAACTTGTAAACCTTCTAATTAAAGTTATGCACATATTTTATATTTTAGATAACTTTAGATATGAAAGTTGGAAAAAATAAGCCAACAAAATTTGCAATTTTTAAAGTTTAAAATAAATTAAAATAAAATATTTTGATTACAAATTTAATAAAATTATGGAAAAGTTATATGTACACACTTTTTGTTTTAGATAACTTCCGATAAGAGAATTCAACATCTACATCGTTTAGGTACGGAAGATAATTTTAATATCTCAATTGATATTGCTGGAGAAGGATTTGTTAAAATTGATGAACATGTGGAGTCCGATGCCATACCAAAAGTTTCAGGTAGTTATTAGCATTGTTTTTTTATAAATAATGATATGTTCTACTAGACTCCTAGAAAAAGTTCTAGTCCTAGTATTATACAATGTACATTAGATGCAAAACTCGGTTTTTGCAAATTTTTAAAAAATATATATTTTATCCTATTTATGTTTATAACTGCACTGCCCACAGCATACCTAAGTAAACCAGATGCATAAGTTAATATTTGTAGAATAAAATACATTTATACGAAGTGAGAACCGATCATGCAGAGTACAAAGCGGGATCCGTATATCCTGCATCATGTACGGCATCTTATGAGTTCCGATTTTTGCATATATATTCATTAGACGCATTAAGTGAGGACCAGCAGTGTTGCCACATCGCGATGTGGCATGTCTGCATGTGTGCACGATGCATCGTATCGATGTTGCGTTATAGAATTCAAGCGGCATGATCTGGTGGTATCATATCATGACAGGGTTGCCACCGATTTGTCTAAACCAAATTCCCTGACTTTTACAGAAATTCCCTGATCTTCCCTGATTTTTTTCCAGACAAAATGTGTTTTCTTTTTGGTTTCCTGATCCTCAATGATTTTTTCAACTGGACTTTGAGTGTTATTTTTTAAAATTTTAAGTATGGGGCCATTCAAGTATTACGTAAGCAGTAATTTTATAATTTTTAACCCCTCCTTCCCTTTGTCAGCAAAAGTAAGTAAACGGCCATTTCAAGCGGATGGACGGGACAAATCACAAAACTGTTTTTATAAAAAAGATTGTAGGTAATTTATTAAACAAGGTGTCCCTAAACTTAGTGGCATAAATTTAGGAGCAGATTAAGCAAGTCAAAATAAGGCGAAAATCTAAAGTGTTACTTATCATATCAGTTTTTTTAATATAACTTCTACTATGGTAGACTTGGAAAGGTGATATTTTGCGAACAGTCACTTACTACCAAAACACATATTCACATGTGACATAATGACATGTGCACATAATTACAATTGTTTGAGCTTTAAGCTTATTGTCCCATACAAACTTTGAGGTTAGGTTTTTGTAACATTTGATGAAATTTATAGATTAAACAGTTCGGCTACCATTAAAAAGGTGTACCTCTCAAACTTCCATAAAATAAACCGTTTCCGAGATATTTGAGATTACAATAATTGTTTTATCGCATTATTTAAAAGGATTAAAAGGTATATGATAACAAATTTTATTTTTTAATTGAAAAAACTAAAAAGGGCATTCCATGAGCCTCGGGACTTTTTGCCCTGACCTTCACATTTAAAAAAATGTGGTTTTTTCAATTAAATTTTTTTTTATCATATAACTTTTAGTCCTTTAATGCGATATAACAATTATTGTAATCTCGAATATCTCGAGAACGGTTAATTTTATCGAAGTTTGAGGAGTACACCTTTTTAATAGTAGCCGAACTGACTAATCGAAAAATTGCATCAAATGGTATAAAAACCTAACCTCAAAGTTTGTATGGGACAATAAGATTAAGCAACCCCTGTTTCTACGACACTGTGTTCACTTAAACAATTGTAATTATGTGTGAATATGTGTTTTGGTAGTAAGTGACTGTTCGCAAAATATCACCTTTCCAAGTCTACCATAGTAGAAGTTATATTAAAAAAACTGATATGATAAGTAACACTTATCTTTTAAACATACGTAATTAGGAAAAATATTTATTTAGATTTTCGTCTTATTTTGACTTGCTTAATCTGCTCCTAAATTTATGCCACTAAGTTTAGGGACACCTTGTATATTATTTTTGCTTCAAAATTTTCAAATATGTATATTATTTTATTATTGGGCTATACATTAAATAAAAAAATCGCAAGAAATATTTTATAAAAGTAGAGATAATTTCAATAATTGACAGGGGTGGACGGGACATAATAAATCTTTTTTTGTCCCGTCCACACCTTTCAATTATTAAAATTATATCTACTTTCATAAAATATTTCTTGCGTTTTTTTATATTTAATGTATAACCTAATAAAAGAAAAATATTTTTGACAATTTTGATGCCAAAATATTATATAATAACTAATCTACAATTTTTTTTATAAAAACAGTTTTGTAATTCGTGCGTTTCGCGCGCTTGAAATGGCCGTAAAGCTTATTAAAAATATACAAAAAAATCAAAGCAATCAAGCAAAGACTCCCCCTTTGGTGGTTATTTAATACTTGAATTTATTTTTCTCTTGGTGGAGAATTAAAACGATTAATTGAAAAACTAAACTTTTATTTTATTATATAAAATTCAAATCATTAACAAAAAATCAATACTTCTTATTAAAAAAAAAAACAAAAAATTTTCTGTAGCTAATTTTTTCGGGTTCAGGTTTTTGTTTCTTGGGTTTTTATTACATTAATTTTCTGTTCAATCTGAAAATAACAGAAATAATGAAATTTTTAAAAATGCCTCTGAAATTTTGTCTGCGACAGGTCTTGTTTATCAAGTTGATGAGTTCTTATCAGTAAATATTTAGTCCAAAAAAAAAGATTTTATTTCTTCTATCATTTTTTGCAGGAGTTTTTATTGAAGAAATTGATTTATTCTAGTCATTTTCTAAAGCAATATTATTATTAATATTATTATCCTGTAAAACTGTAACTTTTTCAAGCATACTCTCTAAAAAAGAATTAGTCAAAAATGACATGTTTCATAGTGAAAAAGCATGCTTTTTCACTTTAAAATATGTAATTTTTGACTAATTCACTGCAGTCACTAATAATTGTATTCCACAGCAACTTGTATACAGGACATTTAACAGCCAATTCTCATGTAAAATTGTTCCCTGAATCCCAAAAAAGACCGTCATAGCAGTTTTTGAGATATAGTCAAGTCCATATTATATGGAAAATTGAATAAATCTTAAAAACTGTCCTAGTTTTATAACTTTTGACGACATATTCGGATTCAGCAGACAATTTTACATAGGAATTGACTGCTGAATATCCGGGATACAAATTGCTGTTGAGTAGAATTATTAGTGGCTGCTTTATCGCTATGACAATTAGTCATTTTTAACTTATTCATTTTTAGAGAGTAGTATTTTCCATATGGTTCTTTTTTTTAAGAAAATTTGACAAATTTGCGTTCTTTGTTGCAGAAATCCTTTTTTAATGGCCCGCACTTTTTATGTGGCCTATGACTGCTTGCAAATCAAACATTTGGCTTGAAACGGTTTTTATCAACTATGATTTTTCAAAGTCTTTTACTGATTAATTAATTAATTTATTAATTATGCTTATACTGATTAATTAATTAGTTTATTAATTAAGCTTATCATTTATAAAATAACCAAATATTAATCACCCTAAACATAAAAATAGTTGGTTATAGTTTTAGAAGGTTATAGGGATAAGTTTGACATATAGCGCTGCCATATTTTGAATAAATTAAATTTAAATTACACTCGTTAACATAATTTTTTTTTGAATGAATGAAAATTTTGTTGACCAGTTTTATTTATAAATAACCAATTCCCTGACCGACTTAGGAATTCCCTGACTTTGTAGTTTTTTTGTCAATTGCCTGACATTTCCCTGATATTTCTAAAAAAAATAAATTCCCTGACATTTCCAGATTTTCCAGGTTTTCCAGATGAGTGGCAACCCTGCATGACCAGTGGCGGATTTACGGATTGGTTTTCGGGTACGGACCCCCTTCGGAATCAAAAAAACCAAAATTTATTATTAAGTACCCGAAGAAAATATTAGAAGGCATTTTTCTTAAAAACCATGGTTTTCGAGAAAACTGACTTCTAATATTTTTGGACCACCAAAAATATTGGATATGAGGCAAAACTCGCCAAACATGCCACCTATCTGCCTCGATATCTTGGAAGAGTTGTATGTACTGTACTTCAATATTTAACTAATTAAGTGACGCGTTTCCTATATATATAGCGTTCAGGGTTTACAGTGATTTAGTAATTTGCTTATATCTTTCACAAATATTAGGTAACCAATTTTAAAAACAAACAAGATTTTAGGTCACATTTTTATGCTGTATGTACATCATATCCTACATATGGCAAGGTTTTCAAGATATGATTTTTTATTTTTTTTTTTCATTTGTTTTTCGCATGCAGCTTTACAATTTGAAACTTTGATAGAAATAATTAAGGTGTCAAGCTAATTTTAGAATAGTTCCTATTGTTTGGTAAATAATACCAGTTTACAGTGTGTGACGTTTGAAGCTTCCTGTTAGTTAACGCGCATGTCTACGAAAAGTAGCCGGCGCTGGGACTAGACGCTTGTTGAATTTACAATCAAATTCAGAAAAGTTTTTGTCGGAATCAGCGCATCCAGAAAAGTTATTGACCACCCTATGGCAAACGAATTTTTTTATTTTTTTTGACCATTGTAATTTGCGATTAGTCAAAAAGTCGTAAATGTTTGTATAAACCACAAGGTTTTTAGATTTATTATTCCATAGTTATTCTTTGGTAGTGATTTCGGCACATACATTTGTTTTTAAAAACAAATAAAGAATATTTTTATTAATAATTATTAAAAAAAAAATGGCCAAAAAGTTCAAGTACAGAAAATGTTCCATATTTACATATCCTGATAAGTGTAAAATTTTGTTCGTGCGGTAGAATTTTATACAGTTCAATAACAGACTTCAGTCGGTGAAACGCCATAACGTAATTTACAGGACACGAATCCATGGCAAAGTTCATAAAATAAGGAACAATATTTAAAATAAAGGAAGTCAAAACTTAAAACAACATTTTAGGTATAGTTTTTTAAGTAGGTTTTGTCCATACTTTAAATAATATAAGTAATAATATTATTTTAAAGTAAAACTTTTTCTTTAATAAACTTTTTTAAGAGTTACGTTAGTCAAAACTATGGAAGAAAAAAAGTAGTTAAATACAAAATAAAATCATTTGAAATTGTACCATGCTTTATAGTTATCCCTATTAAAACCCAGATTAGAGTAAAAAAACATATTTTTTATCAAACGCAATCCAATATTTTGATACCGGCGCCTTACC